AAACAGAATCTTGTCAGACTAATTCTGTACTACTGTAACTAATAGTACAGTAGTTGGGAGATTCTAGAGAGTGGCTATTCTAAATCTCTTACATTTCCCACGCTCCTGCTCCGGACTGTGTTGTCTCTTGTCTCTCTGCTCTTCCTGGAATGTGCCCCCTCTTTCCTGAGAACCTTGCTCTCTACTGCAACCCACCACAGTTCTTAAGAATTAAGAAAATTGACTGGTTACATTAAGAAAATTGAAAACTATTCTCCTATAAAAGGCTGTAATACAAAAGCAATAATTTCCCAGGTTTTTTTCCAGATAAGCTAGGGAAGCAGTTACCAGGTCAACCCAACATTAAATGTGATGGATATTAAAAAAAATTAAGTTCAGACTTGAGAAGAAATTTAAAGCTGAAAGTTAAACTTCTTACTCAAACCAATGCACCATTATCAAGTCTGGTGGCAAAAATAAAATATCAGATATCTCCCCAAGCAATAGCAAGGTCAGTTACCCTAAGGAGATAAGCAATAATATATATTTTAAAGAAGTAGTTATGGAAAAAGTATATTAGGCATGTGTCATTTTCTCCCCCCAATGTAGTTTTTCAATTGCCGCAGACAAGACAAGAACACAGACATCAATGAGACAAAGGAAAGACAAGGAGCTAATACTGTCTGACTTTCTATCTCAAATGCTTATGTGTAAGAGAAGCAAGGAAGAGTGCAGTGAACTCAGCTGTGGAACAAGGATTGTGATGCCAATTCTGCCCTGTTCCAAGCACTGGCAATCGATCATCTTTCTTCAGGTAAAGATTAGGCTTCTTTCTATACACTTCACCAATGCTTATGATACCAGGGGCTGAAATGCCTGTCGTCAATAAAATATTTCTGTTTGATGTAGCTCGAGTAAATGTGCTTCTGTTTTGTATAACGTTCACTCTCTTGGCATTCGTCGCCAAAGTAATTTATATTTAGTGGTCCACAGAGGAACATTTAGAGAACTGCTTACCTTACAGATTCAGTGATTCTTCAAGAAGTGATGTTTAGAAGGTTCCACTTGCCAGGTTTCATAAAAAACAGTGTTACCAAAATTAAGATGCAACGGAACAAGTATTTACAGATGTAGAATGGTTTTAATAATTGACCACTCAAGAACATTTCCAGCCCAAAAGAGGAAAATCAATTTAACAAGCTTGAAAATAAAAAACTGCTAATCATCATTTATGCATTACTGAAACACAGATTTAAATAAATTAATAAGGGCATGCCTACACTGAGTTCTAGAATTTGCTCGCCTGTGTTCTTTTCTGCAATCTTTCCTTGCCTGCTCACAAATCAGAAAACCATGGAGTATTTGAGAGTAGGATTTCTTTGTCATCTTTTAAGACTGTCCTTTCACATGATCCATTCCAAATGCTTGAGAACTGAAGTAACTTCATACTGCAAAAGTGCTCAATTTGAATTAGGGACAGCTGGTTTCTAGATCACAATAACTTAACTGAAGGTTGTATTTTCACACGCATTGGCTTTGATAAACAAACAAAAATGCTAGATGACAAAGTTGGTACAATTACAAAATAAAATTATTTTTTGCATGGCTAATTATGTAATCATAATGCCATTTGAAATGGCTTAATCTTAGCAATAACAACTGTGTCATCAGGTAGGAAAGCATTATTTCAGATAACAAATCAGGGTTTGTTTTGTTTTAAATGTAAGATAGCAAAGTAGTTAAACTTATTTGTAAAGCCACATCTGATATACTGTATATCCTTAGAGTGATTGGTAGGCTTACTGTATAAATTTGAAGGACAACCATGGCATGAAATCAATTTTAATTTAGCAATGACCCAGGGTTATAGATAAAACCCTAACCAAAAGTGGTCATTACCTTGATTTTCTTCAGTGGGCTGGAAAGAGCATCCCTATAAATGAAAGATTTCTGTTTAATGGTTTTCTAAAACCAAACCATATCAACTCCTATATTAACTTTTTCAAAAGAAGGTGAATATTTAAAATCCTTGGGAAGGCACTAGAGAGAAGGGGAAAGGGGGAGCATCACCTGGCTAACAACGACGACTCTGGATTTAATTATGCAAGGCGCAAACAAGACCACAATTAATCATTTGCATAGCAATTCCAGTCACAGCAATAACTAAAGCTAAAAGAAAATCATTTAATACTAGAAGCAGAGATGTAATAAAGCTTTCTGTTGTTAGGAAGACCTGTACTGATGCACTTTTAAGAGACACGTTTAAGAGCCAGCTGCTATAAATTTCAAAGTAATGAGACAAAGAGCTCCCACCTTCCACAGTTGGGGTACTCTTAGCATCAGAAGCTTCAGACCCTGGTTCATCAGATCCATCATCAACTGGTATATGGAGGGGGGAGCCTGGAAATACACACATTCAGCACTCAGCATAAGGAGCTCAGCTTTGGAATATGGCCTGTCAACCTCGCAGTAAGGCTTTGACTTAGGCTGCTCATCCCCACAGAGCCCAAAATGGCATGCATATGGGATTGCTTGCAGTAAAGGCAGGCATTAGCTAAAGAAGATAGTAGAAATGGAAGTACCAGTTACAGATTTTAGAGCCAGCAACAAAACAGCTACTGCAAGGTGAAGAGCAACTGATCTGCGTGGTGCATCAATCAATAACAAGCATGAAAGCAAAGTCAAGAAGTCCAAAATCAAAGCAAGCCTTTCCTCCTCCTCCTTCTTCTTTCAGTACAGGTTACAATAGCCATCATAAGAATGCTTTGGGTCATGCCTTGGTTGCAGAAAATGTATATAAAGTATTAGAACATCAGTATGGAAGGAAATAAACATCTACAGTGACTTATTCAATAAGCTGTGTTTTAGCATCAAGTTGGTCACTGCTGAAGGAATCTGATTTATAGTTCTAAGGATCAAGAAAGGCAGATGTCCTTATTCTTCTGGGAGACATATAAAACAGCAATTTTTTTTGCCCACTTTTTTAGAAAAACATCATTGTCAGAGGAACTAGTAACAAATATTGAACCTGGAAAGACACCATGCTGTGTTTTCTTCAATATCGGGACCTCTTTGTTTTTTTAAAGATATACTTGACTAAACAGGATAGGAGCATGAGAAATTCTGGGATGTTTGTTGAATATCATAAAAGGTCATCTACTGGGAAGAATCTGAGGAAGTATTCTTATGGATTGCTTCTGAAAGCTTTTATTCTTTTCTCTTGAATGACGACATAATATGAAGGAGACCTATTTGGAGGCCATGTAATTTCCAGAGAGCTCTGGATTTTCTCCCCTCCAATACCAGCTAAAAGTTAGAAACGGACAGGAATGTAGTTATGAACCAGGCAGCAGGACTCTCAGTTACAGTTATGTGAGAGACAGCGTTCCACACAGGGATAAGAGAAGCTGCTTCACCAATAAACAGAAATCATTTCAAAGTGACTCTGGCAAGTCACATTTATTAAGCAACCTTCATGCAAATTATAACATTTTGTATTCATTCATAGATCCTGAATCTATAAATAGAAGCAAGGTCTACTGAAGAAAATGGCAACTTCCATCTAATCCTTCTATTTCTTTCAGTGCTAATGAAGAAAGAAAAATTCACATGATTTGGCAGGGCTGCTCCAAAAATCTTCTCTTGCAGATGAATATTCTCAATGTTTTCTTCTATTCACATAATGAGTAAATGATTCCATCAAGGAAACTCATGGTAAAATCTTCATATGGAACACAGAAGTACTCACCTACTGTATACGTCACATTTCTTCTTTCAAATAGATAATTTAAAAAAAATCAGTGGACTGAAAATAAAGCATCTTTTATATTATATGCTAGAAAAGCATTTCTGAAATCAGGCCAAAATGCACATTTTTCTGAGTAAAAGGGCAGCAGTCTCAGTGTTTTGAGTAGAGCAGAACAGATAGCAATTTGTTGTAATTAAACAAATCTGTGCCCATCAATGCCTATGTATCTTACATCATTACTCTCAAGGAAGAGACAATTATAATAAATATCTACTATACTCTACTGCACGTGTTATTACAGTCCACTAAGCCACCCCTGACTCCTGGTGGCTGCCTGGACATGATCCTGCAGTTTTCTTGGCAACATTTTCGGAAGTGCCTTGCCAGACCTTCTTCCTAGGGCTGAGAGTGAGTGACTGGCCCAAAGTCATCCAGTTAGCTTCTGCGCCTAAGGGAGGACTGTATCTCAGGATTTTCCAGGTTCTAATCTAATGTATTAACCACTAGACCAAACTGGCTCCCTATACTACCATACACAAAAACATATCTAGAGAATGTACTGGTACTTTTCACAAACTATTTTCTGGTGTACTTTTTAGGGTATTTCATTACTTCAGCTCCTCCACAAGGATATAAATGCTTCCACATAGATAATTCTTGGCTGCAGGACTAGCTTGCCTTTTCATCCAGCATCATGAGCCCTGAAAGTGCAATAGCCACATTTCCAAGAATAGCTTGCTATGAAGCCTGGCATGCTAACTAGTTTAATTTAACTTGTAGAAAAATATTAATTTCATTTTTAGTGATGAAAGGCATTCTCTTCTTTTTGCCCCCTTGCACGTTCTTCATTTGATCTCCATGGCAGTTGATGATTGTCCTTCTTCTGAGTCAACAGTAACAACTTTTTCTTGATATACCCAGCCAAAGAAAAGACTGGACAAGACACACGGTCCCATTTCAGCATATAATATATGACACCATTCTCCATATTCATAGTAGTATGCTCTCAATGAAAAGGAAGGTACTTCCTAAGTTGACACTGTATATTATCAGCAGTCTAAGATTTTGTCACATACAATCCAAAAAGTCTGAATATTCCATCAAAAGTTCACCGAGCTAAGCAGCTGATCTGTTTGCTAGGAGGTATGCATAATTTGTAAAGCGTTACAAATTATGACCAAAAAATGACAGAAAGGCAATCTCAAGCACTGTTTTCATACCTAAGAATAAAGATACTTTGTTTTGTTCAACTTTTTTTTATATATATTCCTCTTACCAATCTGCAGAATTATTACTTTCTTTCTGAGGTCTTTGGCAAACGTCATGGCTTTATATCCGGTTTCACGCAGTGACTAATGGTTTTCTATCAGTTGACAGGGAAGAAATGGCCGTTTCTTTCAAGCTTTCCCTGAAAGTAGGCACATGTAGGTTTCTATTCTGCATCTAACACCAACAGGACCTTTTTATCACAACTGAGATCTCAGCTGAATTTGTCAGGTGTTTTTTTTCATAAACACTGCCCATTATGTTCGGAAATGTTCATCCAGATCTCTCTCCACACTTCTGTAAGCATTTTATTCAAACAAATATAAACTATCTTTCCTGGCTCTCTCCTGTTTTTCACAGCACTGAGCAGAACTAAATATTTTCCCAGAGACAGGAGAACAAAACTATACAGTGATCAGCTTATAGAGCACTTCTTATCATTAAATTGGTGCTGCCACTTTCCAGATCTATGCTAAGATTCGGGTCTGAATGGTCTTACGTTGACTGAATGAGTAGAACACTGATCACTGCTGCCACAGTGTCTCCAAAAAGATTTTTCATCACTCAGGTGACTGGCTCTTAAGTTCTATGTCTTTGTGAGAACCACAGGACTTGGACACTTAAGGCTAACCTCAGCCAAACGCTAGAATGTTGCTGCATTATGCAAAGAGGAGCTTGACTTAAAGCAACAAAGCGGCTGTCCTCACAGGATCCAAAGATAATTGTCACTGTCCAAGCTGAGGACTCAGTATGGGGCAGAGAGTAATCAAGCAGGTTACAATTTGTTGCCCATGGTGAAGGAGCTGTGATTCCCTATTGTTACCATGGTGAAGGGACTGTTAAAGCAGGCACTGAGAGCAAGGGGGAGGGATGAGAACAAAGGTTCCTCTCAGATTCTTCTTGCATCAGCCTGGCTTGACTGAAAGTTAAGAATCACTGAGCCTGGGTAATCTTGCTGAAGTCCTGGAAAATAAAGAGAATACATGAAACAAACAAGAAACTTCAAATTTGCTCCTGAAAAAGAAGGTCCTACAAGTATTTATGTATCTCTTGCCATAGGATCCCAAGTTCCACTAGGGCACAAGAATGTAAATTGTAGATCAAAATGAATGCTTCCAAGTAGGCTTATTTTGGACTTATACGTCACAGTTCAATGACTCAGATCGGTGGATAAAAATCCTGTTATCGGTATTACATAACGCAGCCAAAAGATTCCGTAACATAAAATAGCAAAAGAGTTAACCAAATCAGCTTTACTGCTGGCTGCCAACATCAAAGCAAGCCAACATCAAAGGACTTGCTAGGTCGCCAGGATGTAGAAAGGATGAAAGCCCATATATGATTCCCAGAAGAGGAGATTCCATCATCTGTTTTCAACCACTAGGAATGCCTTCTTGCACAGACTTTATGTTCCAACTTGTCACTCACAGATTATATTCCAGGAAAGTATCTCCACTTGATCTCTCAGGAATAGAAAACTGAGAATCTTCCTGAAAAAAATTATTGAGGTCTAGAATTGCTAAAAAATAAGATCATAGCCACCAGAGAGGAATAGAACCTGTATAGATTTCCAAACAACTGAAAGAAATTCAGTTTTCAGCCTACCCAAGTAATTCTCATTTCCAAGTCTGAACCTTGAATATATGGGAAGGCCCCAATCAAAGTTGTTCACACCAAAAGGCTCTTAAAAAGTTGCCAATGCAGAGCAGATTGTGCTATACCACAGAGACAAGCAGCTTGACTTACTAAAAGTTACATTCATGTTCCAAGGTAAAGGCACAGAAAAGCTCTCATGCTCCTGAAAACAAGAAGTGTGTAAAAAGTAACCAGAATACAAGTATCCCAAAGCAAAGAGGGCAGAAGAGATAGAGAACACCTGTAAGCTACTTTTTGATGTTCCAAAGGATTTCCATGTGGCTACTTGCAAAATACTCAACTATAGTTCTTATCTTCCTATATTCATACATTTCTGTGGCATTTTGACCCCAACAAATTCATCTGATTATGACTGTGTTTGAAGTGTTATGTTGTTCAGTGATGTCTTAGCTCAGATATAGTCTGAGGCCTCTAGCATGTTAAGATTTCAGAAAACACTGAAGGGAACAACAGAAAACATATAGGTGTACACTTAAAAAAGCAGTTACTGGTATGTAGACGTGAGCATTCTGGAACATCACAAAAATGCCTTTTTTTAGCTTTTTTTTTTTTTTAATACAGACAATATAATGCTATTTCCTAGCACAAGATAAGTGAACTTAACAGGACATTCTCACAATTATGTCACATATAGACAGTAACTGCAGCTTTGATCCAATGAATGTTAAATCTGAAGCCAAATCAAATATGAATTGAAGAGAAATCTGGTAATTTCTATATAATCTTGTTATTTTCCCCAATTAGGATCAACAATGTTCTTGCTTATTTCACATACTCTTCAGGCATGATAACTTATTATCCGCTTTAAACTTTATCTGTCAGTGTGGGCAGTGATGAAGCAGTGTGGGCAATGATGCAGCAACTTTGCATAAGCTCTGAAAAGTGACAGCAAATATGGCACCTCAGTGATTCCAATGTTTATTCTGATATGCAATGAGCTTCTGGAATATAAGATGGGAACACATACCATAAATATATTTTAATTGTTTTTTTAACATAATTAAGTATCTGGCTACCTGAAGCACAGTAAAAATGCTGATAGACACCAAAAAGAATTAGAAATTTTTGGCATTAGAAGGAAAAGAAACTTCTTTCTTTGGAAATTCCCAGCTTAGTAATCATAGTTTAATAGCCAGAAATCAGTATGAGGTATTCATATTCTTACAATCTTCTCATTCTCTCTTCATAACCAAATGTGGTTCACTTTATTTATGATTCTCCATGAAGAACTCTTTTTGACATCCGTTTACTATCTAGATCTTAAACTACTGTGGTTTAGCATACTGGTTTAGCTAAAAGTAAAGGATCTCTTGAAACAAGCTTGATTACTGATTTTATGGATACATCCATGCAATTTTCTCAACAGCCCTACAGAAGTTGCTTGCCACAACTTTCTTCCAGAATGTTTTTTGAGTTCTCCATCTAATCAACAGCTCTGAAATTCCAAGATGAGTAAAGGCCGACTCAATGCTGTCACACATTTCAGATATAACCGAGAACCGTAGCTTTAGTTCATGGGGACTGGTGCATGAAGGGAGAAAGCAAAGGAGAGGAGTATGAAAAAGCCCACTGTTTGGACCCTAGCTTGCAAAATTATAGTACAGTAAGAATAAGATTTTAAGTCTGATCCAGGCCATTAAGAAGTGGTCAGTTTTTTAAACTGCTGAAATACCTCAGAGACAAATTGCTTTATGTACTTTCAATCTAGAACTGGTAGCAGCATTAAATATATTAATACATTCTGACTGTATTTCTCAATAACTGGAACAGAAATTATGGGTTATTCCCAAAACACAAAATGTATGAATACTTTCAATATATTTAACATACCAGAATTAACAAAATGCTTAACAGTCCAATAATGAGGATCCATTTGGCATTTCTGTTATATCATTTCATTTCTAATCAATCTGGTTGCCATCAGCTTATCTAACTAATTTTATATAGATCCCATGAAGTAATTACACTCAGTGTTTGGCTTCAGGGTTTAGTGATCATCATCCAGAAAACAGATTTCCTGACATTTCACCAGCAACCGTGGCTAGCATTTTCAGAGGCAAGATGGTCTGCTACACAGGCCACAAGCAACTGAATAGGGACTGACTGGGCTCCTGTTGTTATAGTCAGGTGTCCTGACTGATTGGTCTTTAGCCAAGCTAGTTTCTGATTAGTGCCAGTTGGTGAGGGCTGGTCTCTGATTGGTTGTGTCCAATCCTGACTGGCATTTTGGTGGTGTTGATTCCTGATTGGTCCTTTGTTCATACCAGCTTCTGATTTGTCATTTATGGAGTCCTGAGTCCTGACTGGTCCTTTTGTGCTGGGTTCTGGTTGGTTAGTCTGAGCAGCTGAGTCCTGATTGGGTCCTTGGCCAGGCAAATTTCTGATTTGCCCATTTTGGGGAGCTGATTCCTGGTCCTGCTTTTGGGCAGGATCTTGGCATGGCACAGGGCAGGTAACCAGGCTTTGTCAACCTTCAGACTTTCTACTTTTTTGTTGAAGCTGTTGGGATGTTTGTGGATCTCAATAGCCTCTCTGTGCAGGTGTACATAATAATCTGATGTTGCTGACAGCACTTGTGTGTCCTTGAATTGAATTTTATGATCTTTATGGCACAACACACATCATGATTTTTCAGACTGTCCTTGTCTGCAGTGCTTCTCATGTTCCTTTAGTTGGGTGTGGAAACTGCGTTTTATGGTACCAGTGCACACTTGCCCACAGCTACAGAGGATGTAATAGATACTGGATGCTGTGAGGTGGTCTCTGCTGTCCTTGACTGATTGAATGATTTCCTGGATTTTCTTAGTCAGCCTGCAGATGGCTTTAAGGTTGTGTTTTTCCAATAATTTTCCTATTTGGTCAGTGACCTCTATGTAGGGGAGAAATACCCTTCCTACTGGCAGTGGTTTGTTCATGGATGTATCTACTAAACCCTGAAGCCCAACACTGCCCAACAGATACCAGCTGTGAAAGCCTACACCAGTATATTGATTATACTTACATTGTAATAAACCATCAGATCTCTAAAAGTCAGTCTGGATAATTTTCAAGTAAAAATATATTTTAAATTATAATTTAAAATAAATATGTAGTGGTGTTTTCTTGCTGTAGCAGACAAACAACTACTCTTTTAGAACTGAACACATATTTACAGTCACTTTTCTGATTATAAAGGCTTCTAATTGATTTTAAGTAACAAAGCTTAGCAAATGTTTTTACTGTTTAAGGCAAAGCACCGCCAGTAATTGACATAAATATATATATAATCATATTTAGAATTTATGACTAGCTTTTCCTCAGCTCATTTATACTTCCAAGTTTCATCCCCACTGGTAGCCTCTTTTCACTCTTTTTATCCTGGCTTCCACCCTGTGGAATAAAACATTTCTGTTTCCCACCTCATAAGACTCACCTGTCTGATTCCACCTAGCTTGGCTCACCAAATGATCATCTGTCATACTGAAGTCCTGATGCTGATCAGCCATCCTGTCACAAAGATTACCTTGAAAAACAAAAAAGATATATAGAACATTTAAAACAAAAATACTAACTTCTTGGATAGCATCTACCTTTGGGTTTGTAATATGGGTAGTATTTGTTCAATGACCACTCATTTAACGACTGTTCAAAGTTATGATGGCGCTGAACAAGGGGGACTTATGACTGGTCCTTGAAGTTGTGGCTGTTGCAGTGTCCCCATGGTCACATGATTGCTATTCAGGCATTTGACAACCAGCTTGCACTTACAATGGTTGCAGCATTCCACAGTCACATGAACACCATTTGTGACCTTCCCTGCCAGTTTCCCACAAGCAAAGTCAGTGGGGAAGCTGGCAGGGAAGGTAACAAGTCACTCCCATAAGTTGTTCCCACAACTTTTTCTCCCGAGGAGTCCCTGGGCTGCAGGGTGAGTGTGGACACAGCACCCACTCCCCTGCTGTACGGCCAAGG